GGAAGAAATCATTTGGAAAAAACAGCAGTTGCCTCGTGGGGGATGATAACAGAAGAACATGTGACAAAAGCAGACCAGTTGCATTGAAAAATCAAGAAAAAAACCGCTATCTCAAAATGAAAAGCACATGGAGAAACCTACTTCTTGACTGCCTTCCTCAAGTCAGGCAACACGACAGGATCCCCGGTGTTGGTCGTCGTCGTACGAGCAGAAGACCTGGTGGAAGGGATGTCACCGGCAATGGGGGCACCTTTGTTCAAGCGAGCAGAAACATGGGTTGGCGTTGGCGCCTGTTTCTTCGTAGCTGCTCGTCCACCAGCGGTCGGCTCACTGCACGCAACAGATGGAAGGAAAAAAGAAGGTGGCAATTGTCAGACAACAAACTAATTGCCGCGCTTGACAAAAAACAAGTGCAAAAGAAATGGATGAGATTTTTCCAAAGAAAAGATACACAGTAGAAAACTAAAATTGAGAGTCGAACCTCTTCCTGGCAGCTACGGGATCGATCCTAGACCTCTTGCCAGCAGAACCCTGCCCAACATCCTCTGGAGCCCTCCCCCTCCTTGATGGCAAAACCCCCTCGCCTCTCGCAGCCGTATGTTCTGTCACTTTCTCCGGTGGGTGGGCACCTGTTGCATCCTTGCCCTTGTTGCCGCATGTGCGAACTTCAGCGTGTTCATCATCATCAGTGTCATCGTCGTCGTCCTTGCTGAGGCCAGCGTCTCCATCCACATCATCCTGTGTGTCACCGGGCTCTTGGGAGCTGTTGTAGTCATACCGGCCACGGCAACCGGTTGGCCGATGTGTACGTTCTGGGACAAATGAAGTGAACTGCCTCGCAACCGCGTCGCTGTCAGAGGCACTGAGGGACGTCCACCCCTCAACCAACTTCCCGAGCAGGCCGGTCATTCCGGATGCAAACTGCCCAATTAGATGCTCCACTGGTGCCCTCGCCTGTGCACGAAAACAAGAAGCATCAACAAAAACAACGCCCGTACTGCATTCGCTTCCGCGACATCAACATGTAATCCACGGCAAACCGTAGATGTGGACATTTTGATTACCTCAGAAGGGCAAGACGGAGCTGAGTGCATGTCCATCCACTTTTCAAATCTTTGAGGCCCCCCAAACACGCTGTAGTCTATAGAATGCTTGGCCATCAGCTATGAAAAACAAAAAAAGAAATTGTAAGCATGCCTTATAAACCACGGACGGTTGCGTCGTGTCAAATTTGTAAGCATGCCGTGTGAAAAAGACATAAACAAAAACTAACCTGTAGTTTTCCATATGTGCCATCAGTTGCCCTGTCTGCGGCAAGCACAGCCTTGATAGCGCTGATGGTCCACGCAGAAACAGCAAACTTGTGAGTAGGCGGCGGGCCTCCTATCCTGGTGAAATCCATGGTGGACAGATCAAGAGAGTCGACATACATGAGCTGATTTAAAACAATTTTGCAAAGAAAAGAAAATATCAGTTGCCATCGTGGTTAAATTGTAGTTCAGAAAAAAAGAGAGCAGGATAATGTATGATCCAACGATAATATGTATGTGTTAGTTGCCATCAAAGTGTGATGGCAGTTGTCATCCTACTGTGATAGCAGTTGCCATGTTAATATGAAGGTAGTTGCCACATTGTCAGTATGACAGTTGCCACGTTGTCATTATGGCAGTTGCCACATTGTCACTATGGCAGTTGCCATCTTGTTATGACCAGATTGTCATGCATGAAATAAAAAGTACGTTATAAACAAAGAGTTCACACAGAGATCTGGTGAAAATAAATACCATTAAGTGCAGACGACAACCCTTCTGGTACATCTTGTTTTTGAAAGCATCGGGGAGAAAGTCGGCAATAAACTTACACCAGTTCATACTCTTCACGTTTTTCAGATTCGCCTGCACCACACAAAATTTCAGGGCAAAAAAGGTTGCCGCGTCAGAAATCAAAACGGAAGAAACACAACGAAAAACACTGGCAGTAGCGAGCATGGATCATTCACCAGGATGGGGAAACATTTGTTGCTTGGGCGAAGAGAAGTGGTCGGCGCGAAAACAGCTGAGATGAGGTACATGAGTAGCTTCATCTTGAAAACTTCTCCGTGCGTCGTCATGTCCTGCAGAGAATCTGCCAGTACAGACGTGTTCGGCATTGCCTCCAACCCAGGAAACAAACGGGCGAACAGCTCTTCCTCGATCTCATTATTAACCTCGTACGGGACTTTGATATGTCCCCGAGGCACACCCAAAGTGCAGAACATGGATTCCTCATTCAATGGAAGTCTTCCCCGTCCCGGGATCACGCATTCCCTGGAGGCGGGATCGTATATCTCACCAAGCCAGTCGCATACCGGGTTGACAAGGTTCGTACACCGGACATCCATCAGAACCTGCATACCCATCTCAGCAGCAGCTCCCTTTTGATCATCAGTGAATTTGTCAATCAACACGGTCAGACGTTCCTGGGAGGCTCTGTTGCGAATACGTTTCTTCTTCTGCAAAAAACAAACACAAAAGTGTTGAGCTGTTGCCATGTTTTTGCAATGTTATGAAAATTTAGTTCATGATGGACGACTATAAAAAAGATCTAGCTGCCAACAAATAACATAAATCAGGAGGAGGGGGGCGGGTGGCGGACAGTTACCTCATCGCCCTCTTTTCTCCGTCCAGTTGCCTGGTTACGTTGAGGTGGATCCATGAAATCATCATCATCACTTTGATGATCGCCACGAGCCATTATGCTGATGTAGGAACAGACCAAATTGTTAATGGCGAAAATGTAAAATGCAATGGGTAAGCAGTTGCCACCTAACAGAAAAATATTAACTATTTGAATGCAAATGTGGTTGCCATACTATGCAGCCAGTTTGCCACACTGTCATATTTGTATTGTGGCAACAGACATTATGTTCACATACTGTATTGCAACATGATTATACAAAATCCAAAGTGGCAAACACGCCAACTCGATGTGCACATTAGTTCCGTCCAGTGCTACCGATTGTGGCAACTATCAAAGTTTGGAAACTGTCGCAAATAATTCAGAAAAAAAAACAAGTCTCACAAATGAAAAAGAATGTTTGAGGTTACTATTATGTAAATTCAGTAAAAAATCAGTTTGCCTCGTTCAAGAGCGTGTATGTGGCAACTATCTCATTCATTCAGTAAATTTTAGTTGCCCCCCTTGTGTGTGAGCTTGAACACATTTGTGGCAACTATGACAGTCAGTTTCAGAAAATATGTTGCCGCAGAAGAGAACACATTTGTGGCAACTGCCACATTTGTTCATGTAGTTTAGTTGCCACACACCTGTTCACGTTCGGTCATACTGCCATAGTTGCCACATTCAGAAAGCATATTTTTTCTGGTTACTTATCGTACAAGTTCAGCAGAATTAAAATTTGCCACATGGGAAGAGTATGCGTGTGGCAACTGCCACAGGAGTTCAATGAAATTAGTTGCCACCTCGTTTTGGGGTGGCAACTATGACAGTCATTTTCGGAAATCTGTTGCCACATGGGAGAACACGTTTGTGGCAACTACCACGTTTCTTCAGGTAGTTTAGTTGCCGCACATTTGTTTCACGTTCAATCATATTGCCAATTTCGCCACAGTCTGCAGTTTCAACCCCAAAAACTAGACTAGATCTAGGTTTCGATGGCAACTGCTTCAACCTCAAAATCACCCTTACAATTCTCGCGCGAAATGGCTGCAACCCCAAATTTCGAACCAATCCGCACCAAAACAACCCGGCGGACAACTCTCAAAATCCAAATGCAAGACTAATGCGTTGCCAACGAGCAGGCATAGCCTCACCGACGATGCCGCCGCAGCGGCGGCAACAAAACTGCCCACTCCCACGAAGCAACGGCAGGCACACAACTATGGCGCACCGCCGCAGCGGCGGGAACGCCGGCGCACCGCCGAATCGCCGGAATTTCTAGGAATGGATCTAGAAATCGAACAGGGAGGAAAGAGGGGAACAAAATCAGGGAGGGTATGCGATAGATGAAGCGAGCATTGCCTTCGACCCGCACGCGTTCCGGCGACGCCGCTCCGCTCCGACGAGCACCACCAACGCCCGCGAACACCGTCGACTGTCCCGCCTCCGCCGTCGCCTTCTCCCCTCGCCTTCTCCTCGGTGGACTGTAATGCGAGTGGGTTGTGCCAGTAAATGCGACGCGGGGGAGAGTGAATGGAACCGTGAGGGAGAGGGTGGAGGGGTGTGCGACGTGTTTGACGTCAACTACGGTCGGACCGTGGCGTGCGGGCGCATGGCAGTTCCACCGCACGCCTCTCAGTGGCAACCGCTGACCGCGGGATGGCAACTATCGTGCGGGCGAACCCACTCGCACACCGCACACTAGAATCGTCCAACGTGGCGCCGAAAACCAGCCCTTTTGCTCCAAGATTCGTGCAAAACGAAACCAATGGCGATGCTTGCGTGTGGACGGAGTGGTGAACGCCCACACGTGTGGGCGTTAACATTTCCGAAAAGAAAAAAGAAAAAAAAACACCATGAAGACTTCATATAGTACTCCTACTATACAAGTAGACGTGACAGAAGCAATTCTGTCAACAACAAAAGAAGACGTGACAGAAGCAATGCGTGCATCGCCAATACAGTTTCTGGGTTATTATTTTGTTAGCATAATCTTGAGTCCTAGTTTTGTCCAAGTCAGTACGTGGCTTGGCTTTGCCATGTATTGAGTACTCTGTATAGTCTGGATCGTATTCCGGTGGCTGTGTCTAGTTGAAGTTGGGGCCGATTAGGAGTTTTATTACCTGGCCGGTTCGTAAGTCGGTAGACAGCAAGCACAGTACTAGTTTGAATAGGTCTGGGTGGACGCATCACGCATGTATCTGCGATGTATACGATGCTATGTATCACCGTGAGAACAACAAAGACAAAGGAAAGGCACGTCGCAAAAGTTTTTCATTCGAGTTTTCTCGTGTTTTGATGCGATCGCGACCTCGTGCGCGAATTCCAACTCCAACATCATCATGGCGCCGCGGCTGCCGTCTCTTACGAGCGACTGCCTCCTCCACGTCTTCCTCAGTCTAGACCCGGTCTCCATCGTCCGCTGCGCCGCGGTCTCGCGGCACTGGCGCCGCGCCGTCATCGACAACGCGGCCGAAATCCGGCGCCACCCGGGCCATCACCTCCTCCTCGGCATCTACCACCGCGAGATGTATCCGAGGGAACTCGCCTTCTCCCGCCGCTCGTCCTGGCTGCCACCGTCTGCCGGGCGGCACTGGTCGGACTCCCTGCCCGCACCTTCCCATGTGCCGGTGGCGGAAGGCATGACGCCGAAGCTGTACTCGCCGCTCGCATGCAATGGCGGCCTCGTCCTTGTGTGCCGAGGCCTCCCGTCGGAGATGTTCGTGTGCAACCCATTCACCGGCTTCAGCGCCTCCATACCCCGCCTTGGCGAGCTTGTCACACACGAGTACCTCTTGCACTCATGCCATGGCGCAGAGCCAAACCCTAGCACCAACACGTTCCAAGTGCTTGCCGTGAAAATAGAGCACAATGGCATACTGGTCCTTCAAAACTACTGCTCGAAGAGTGGCACTTGGGGCCCTGTCTTTCGTCCCAACGGCAGCAGGCTCCGGATGCCCTACCGTGATTACCGTGCCGCCCCAGTATTGTGCCGGGGTGCCATCCATTGGTTGTGCAGCGACGTGTCAGATTACGACTCATCACCATACGGACAATCATGCTTCGACAAGATCACCCGTATAGTCGCAGTGGACATAAGCACAGGCCAGGCAAGAATGACAAGGCTACCGAATCACTTGTTGACGCGCAATAATGAAGTATCGACCAAGAAAATGCTAATGTTGGCTACGTCGTCCGAGGGTGAACGGCTATCTTTGCTACGAACAAAGAAATCAGGATTGGAGGTATCAATCTGGTTGTATGCCGGAGATCATGGCGGCGAAGACGACGACGACGCAGAGAAGAGCTGGATGTTGTCGCGATCTGTCGACATTCGGAAGCTCATCGAGGATGCAGGCCTGGCATATTTCCGACCATCGTGCAAAGATTGGGCAGTGTTGGAAACAAGGTTAGAGTGGTTTTGCCCCAGGAGCAACTGTTTGATAATCTGGGTTCCTTTCCTTGGATTGTTTGTTCTTGATCTAGTGAGCACGGAGATACAAAGAGCCGAAGGAGATAGCCATGGACACATCTGGCCTTATGAGATAGACTTGACGCTTTCCTTCTCCTCCATGAAACCCTTCTAGTGCGATACTTTTTGTCCGAGAGGTAGTATTATATTTGAATCGGAAATCTATAGTAACTAGATGATACGCCGCGCGTTGCTGCGGGAACTCTTAGCCCTTCGCACGTCATTGTAAATAAATCAATTTTTTTTTGCATAGTTCATATATGACTTTAAGATGAAAAAATTACAGCAAACACAAAACTTAGTAAAACTATGAAGATTGCAAAATGTGAATTATGTGGTCAGGTCTTCTACTAAATATATTGATATGACTGAGTAAATCTACTTGGACTAAAAAGTAACAGTTTTGCTAGAGCACATCTAGATATGCCATAAGTATTGCACATCTAAGTCCTATGTCATTGATCTTACGTCGAGATTCATGTGAATATTTCTTTTGCCTCTTTATACTTGATTCACTCATTTAAATGTGTAATAATTAGAGCACATCTAGATGTGCCTTAGACACACCCAAAATTAACACACTATAGGAAAGGGAACTATGAATTGGACATGATGTGAAAGTTTATATACAAACGGCTCTTTGAGATGGTCATTTTGTGTTCGGTAGAGCTCCCAATATCCACAATAAGGACAAAACTAATCATGATAACTGGGGCAAAAGAATGCTAATTGCTTTCCTACTTTCTCTTGCCGAAGTAGTTGCCAATTTATCTGTCGCAAAGAGTTGGGCTGAAAGAGCATTAGTACTGAGTACTGACACAAATAAGCACCATTGTAGTCAGAATTTGCTTACAACAAAAAGAAACTACTCCCTCTATTTCAAAATATAGTGCGCCTGTGTTTTCCGAGGTCCAACTTTGACTACAAATTTAACCAACGAGACCAACTGCGGCGGGAGAAAAAATTATATAATTGAAAACTTCTTTCAAATATGAATTCACTGATATAATTTTTGCTCCCGCCGCAATCGGTCTTGGTAGTTAAATTTATGGTCAAAGTTGAAGTACGGGGATAGAGGAAGCACTACATTGTGGAATGGAGTGGAATGGAGGGAGTATGTATGAATACTCCTACTTATAAGCTACATTGAGCAAATGAAAAATAAAGAATGGCCATTTTTGTGGTTTAGGATCTCAATCATAATGAATTATTTTGGTCAAACTTCAGACAATAGTCTTATCCAAAAAAATATTCATTTCGGTGGATGAAAATAAACATAAATAGCATTGGAGTCAGACAATCAGATAGTACACATGATTTTAGTGGATTTGAGATGTATCTATACTGGTCATTGTCCTTATGATCCTTCACTGGTATACCGAAAGAATTTTATCCCTTCAATATAGTAGGGTAACAGAATACTAATAATAAAATGAGCCATATCTCTTTATCTATGTGTGACAGCAAAAAGTATTTACCTAAAATAATCATATCACCAAAAAGCCTCGACACTAAAAGCAATGACATAGCGGTGAACCTCCCAATACTCCACATGTTCTTCACAAAAAAGGACCATCTCTATGACATAGTGGTGACTACCAGCAGGGAGCAGACACGCGGATCCTAGGCAGTGAGCATCCAGCTGCATGATAAAAAGGGACAATCGATGATCAACAGCCAGCCTGATGGCCAGAATCCAATGGCGTGTAACGGAAAATCGGATCAACAGTTTTGAACCCAGAATGGTAAAGAAATTTAAAAAAAAAAACTCCAAATCTAGCTTCCCAAATTCTAGAGGGGGAGGGGGGCGCGGCCAAACTCAAGATCAAGGTAGCCGGCCAGAAGCCAACTCCGTTGTCAACAGCAGTATGGGTCCACGGCGTGGCGTGCCACTAGCTCGTGAGCGGCCACTGCCCCCGCGGCTAGGCGTACAGGGAAGGAGGTGCCGGCGAAGAACGCAGTGGAGAAGAATGTGGGAGATCAAGAGTTCAAGACGGAGTGATCCTAAGAGACGCAGTGCAGAGAGGATAAGGAAACGCCGGTGGTGGATTTTGTGATCGAGACGAAGGCGAGTCGCTTTAGATTGACTCGTCGGTTAATAGGCATCTAAAGAAAAGGACTCGTCAGTTATAGGAAAGACGGAAGAGGAAGAGATCGATAATTAACTTTGGGAGTAACCAGGGGATTCTTCGATTGGTGCAAGGAGTAAGAGGATGCTTGATACATTTTAGTCTCATGACTAAAAGTAGTGGGACTAAAACTTGTTAGCCTCATCCATGCTTGAATCCAAATACTAAAGAGAGTATAATCAAGTTAATGAGCATTTATTATCCTTCAAACCCTTCAATCCAGAACTCGCATGTGTTAAAGGAAAGGAGTTAAATAAGGAGAGAGAGGACCAATCCACATTTTAGTAGGGGTATCCCTGAGTAAAAAAATTTAGCCTCAAGACTAGTTTTAGCCCCTCTTTAGTCAGGGGTGCTTGAAACTTTAGCCTCTTTTTTTTGAATTTTCGAAACTTTAGCCTCTTAAAAAGACTACTTTTAGTCAGATTAAAATAAGTCCCTTGAATTCAAGCACCATCTAAATCTTTGATGGGTCTTTTAAGGCTGACCCCTCTTCTTCGAGGGGAGATACTACATGGCTACATAGATTGGAACTTCGCATTACGTAAAGCCAAATGATCGGAAGAAAATGCTTGTGTGGCATGGCATGCATCATGAAGTGGACATTCTGGATGATGTGGCATGCAAGATGATGTGGACACTCTGCATGTAAAGAGAATTGGGACCAACTTCTTAAGAATGTAAGATGTAAGATGTAAGATATGTTTTAAGTTTTGTTAAACCACATCTAGTTGAGAATTAAGTCCGAGGTATTACTATGACGACTTCTCGACTGTCTATTACAATAAATTTTGTCCGGCTCCGACGAGGGAGGGACGATGACAGCGGCATGCCTTTGACTCGCTTCTATGAATTTAGATGTAATTTTTATGTGTGGTGTTCTTGTACTACCATGATGAAAATGAATAGACCAAAAGTTGTCTCTACTAGTACTTTATAAAAGATCAAACATTTTTTCCCTAAACGTGCCCCATAGATGTACAAAGATCCATTACAACCACATGATTAGGCCCACTAAACACAATCTAACAATTAAACTTAATCTAATATGTTTTCTATGTGCACTTGGTAATTAAAAGTAACTTTCAAAAAATGATTGACCGTACTCCGCCACAGAGGAGAATATGGAACTCCACGTGCAACCCTACAATCACGCATGGCGGTAAAAAGAAAACTCCCTTCAATTCATATTACTTGTTGATCAAACAGATATATCTGGGGCAACAAAATGCCTGACCAGGACATGGTGACTTGTAAGTGATAACAACTTAATTTTATATGGAATGATCTATCAGAATGTTCAACTGTAAAGACAGTGGTCTTGGGCTCAGCTCTTCTATGGCGACGGCCAAAAACACAAACTTTTAGGAATAAATCATCGTCTACGCGCAGAATTACTAGACAACGAGTTAGATTCACCGACCCGTCCTCAGCAACCTTGGTATTGGTACCCCAGCGCTCACTGTCATATAGCACCATCTCACTAGGATCTTCGGAGGTCGAAGCTATCAGGCTTCCGTGGAAGAATCTTGGCCCTCTCAAAATTTTGACACCGACCGTGGCTTCCACGGCATAGTGCACAGATCTGTATGCCAACTCTAATATACCCAGCCAACTTTTTTTTGAAAAAGGGTTTATCCCAGCCTCTGCATCAGAAAGATGCATACGGCTCATATTATTAAAAACATAATCCAGTAGCAAAGTCGCCAAGTATCGAGGTGCGAAAATAAACAAGAAGCTCGAAAGAGCTAAAACCCAAAGCCACAACCGGCTGGCAAACACAATAGGAGCACTACATGCCTATCCTATTACATGACCGCCATCCAAACGGGTTGAAAATATCCCGCGCTACCATCTCCCATCGGGTAGACGCAGTAACCAAACGCTTTCTGGCCTCCGTTGGAGTGAGTAGCGACCACATACGGATGAATGTCGTGGCCCTGAAGAGGATAATCTTGGTCCAGCAAGGTCCTGCTGAAAATCCTATCCATAGGAGGTTCTTCGCCCCTGATCTTTAGGTTGATCTCAAAATAGAAAACATTAGCATCTGCCGGTCCTCGATTGGGTCCTATCAGATTTAGCATTTCATCCTGCAACACATGGCCGGGATTAATAAAGAGATAATGTCACCACTGAGGAAATGTATCTACTTACTGAAGAAATTATGGCCATCTTTTTTTTTCAATTTGCGCAGGATATCCATCCATGGGAAATCACCACTGAACATTATATGACAGGCAATGCGTACATGTATAGCTTGACGATCCAAGGATTGATTAATATCAGTACTAACCGGTGAGTTGATGACCTGGCAGTTGTCTCTATCACGTTGGAAGAGGTAGATGCATTTGAAGTCCAAGTCATCTTTCATCAACACATTCCCAAACACGCTGACCGGGAAACCTAAATCGGAGGCCAATACCTTCACATGAATCACATTCAACGCCAACATCAAGCTGTCTAGTTGAGACTCCGGGATTTCGTCAAGTGGCCTTGAAAACCGCGCTGTCGCTGTGACTCAAGAGAAGCAACACAAAACGTTTTATTAAAATAGTGTACAAAAACACTTTCCATTAACCAACTGGCGCCATAGAATCGTTAGCAACCAAGTCGAAGACAAAGTCATTGGCAAAAAAAGAAAATTCTAAGACAAAGTCTGGGATCTGCTCCATCTAAGACAAATTCTAAGACAAAGTCTGGCACAGCCACATGATAGCCAAACTGCACTAAAGAGAACACTACGAAGTTACAGGGCCTCCTGCAGAAAACAAAGTCAAATGAATCAATAAAACCGAACAATGCAGCTTCTTCTGGCTTCACCAAGCAGGACCCCAAGCTCTGCTCTATCCGAATCTCCGGAATTGAGGGCTTGTACCAGGGGTAGAGAGTTATATTCCAACAAGACACTATGAACACCTGAATTGCCAGCACCCTCAATTGCAGTAAGGCACCCTCATTTAACATGCATGAGCTTTCCCGCTCCAGCTGC